TCAGATGCGACGCAATAATTTGAAGGGAAATTTACCAACGACTACACAGTGATTCGACAAAACACAAGCAGTGCAGAAAATGTAGAAACATGATACTCGAGTCTCGAATAAAAACAGGAGTGATGGCCTGCTAAAATACCACCTCCCTACCCTCCCCGCCAAAGACAATCTGGCGCAACGAAACGGTATTCCGCCATATATGGTTCCGAATTTATGCGATGACCATAGCCTATTCAGCGTTTAATGTTTCATGCGTCTTACTAAGCACTGAACAAAATAAGTATTAAATAATTTACGAGTTTACAACCCGAAATGCAACGCATTAACATGAAGTTAGCAGATTTCAGATTTTCAATCCGAACTGCACTTTGGTTCTTCAGGTAAATGAAGGACCTCAGAGCATCGCAAAAACTAAGTGAATTCTGATTCAACAACTGCATGTACTTAATTGTTAAAACATGACATCTATTACCTTGAAGGAAAGTTCGAGGTTTTCTCCACCCCAGATATCAAACCCTGGATCATAGGTTCCTAAGTACTCGAAAAAATCTTTGCTGATTGAAAAAAGTCCACCAGCCATTGTTGGAGACCTGAAAAAGAAAAAAATCACCGAAAAATAAACATCTGAGTCAAAAAACGAGTGAAAACTGGAAAATTTACAAAAACGGATTATTTTATTTATACACAACACAAGCAGAGTGGCCAATCAGTTAACTGATCAGTACTGACGCTTCGGCTCATCCCACGCGGGCCTTCTTCGGGGTAGTCCGGATCGATTTCCGCAGTTAGCTTTGTGGTCCGAAGTAGCTATAACGTTTGAAACCGAAACTCATGAGATACCAGGCGAAATGTTTTTCGGTGCTAACCACTCACGCGATTGACCAACTAATTCGTTTACTTTATGTGTATATAAACCGTTTTAATACATTTTTCAGTTTTCACTATGATCACCAACACAAACGGAATGCTCAAAAATCAATCAATGAATAAGCGTGTAAGGAGAATGCTGATATTTATTGCAAAACTATTTGATAAACTTGATTACGACTTTGATCTTTCGGTAGGATGCATTTTTACTATTGGCTTAAAACTGATTTGAATATGCGTTTAATTTCGGCCTAAAAAACCCATTCCTCAATTTTCACTGATTGTTACTTTTTTCAGGTTGTAGGAACAGCAACCACAGGAAGTTAATTCAAATGGTGTCGGTTCTTGACCAAATATGCAAACCGCATAGTGTAAATTCATTGAAGCAACAATGCCACATGTCCCACCGCGTAATTTAAAGATCGAACTGCCTGGTTTCCTTCGTAGCTTTGCCAAGAGAACTCACATTCGATATCCGTCTTCTAGCCCACATAACTGAAAATTTATGAAAACATAACTGATATGTTAATTTTGTATTTAGTAGGTTTTGAGCGCTGTTGAAGCCACAGGGTAAAGAGATTCAGCTTCCACCAATTTTAAATGTTTGGACAGGGAGTGTTATAAGACAGTAAAAAACCACATATTGCACATCAATAACTCTATTTCAAGCTAAAGCAAAGAATTCCGGAAAATGACTTCTGTCATGAAACGGAAGACCACTGAGACACGCATGGATATTTTTGAGTTTCACGTCTCAGACGAGTTTGTCCGATCCTAGGAGATTAGCTTGCTTATCATTCATAGAGCCAAAACACTTGTAGAGAAGCTACAAACGCATTGAACAATAGTGTGCCACAAATGTGAAGAATACATACGGTACAGGTTCAAGCGGGTCCTTCAGGTTCTTGCGCACGCGCTCTGGAATTGGATGCCAATTAAATTGCAGCGACCAGTCAAAACCTCCAACGTTGATGAAGCCGCTCGGACTGTACGAGTATTCAAGTGTATCGTCGCTGATCACGTCGATCACCGGACACACCACATTATGGCTGTCTTCTGCGATGCGCGCCATCAGCGGCTCGAGCCAACCTACAATGCCGAAAGCAGGAGATGAATTATGAGGGGTTTGAAAAATCAAGGCAAATCGTGTAAAATTCACGTAAATCGTGAAAGAGCTTACGTTCCGTACACTCGCAGTGCGAATCCAGGAATGTGAGGACATCCCCTTTCGCAGCAGAGGCGCCGCGAAGCCTCGCACGAATCAGACCCTCTCGCTGTGACAGTCGCAGGATCCTCACCGGCGTTGTCAACCGCGATGACACGTACGCTTCTAGCGGCTCCTTAAGGTAGTCTGAAACAACGACGTAGCACTGGCTTAACAGGACATAAAAATCGCCCACCTTTGTCTGAACAGTCGTCAACCAGGATGATTTCCTTCAACAGTTCTGGAGGTGTTCTTTCGGAAACGCTGTGAACGGTTCGAAGCAAAGCGCTCCATGCCTCATTGTGAAAACAGATGATTACCGAAGTGGTGAGGCTCTTTAATTTGGGATACTTCTTGTGATAACATCTGAAACGATAAAAGCATCTAAAACAGTATATTCGATACAGCTCAAAGAGCTCAATTTCATTTAGATGCTGAAGCAGCCGAATTCATCAAAACACACATGTTGTACATGTCAAACATATAGCAACCTGCAGCTTTACGGTGCATATATAACGCGCTAATTTGCTACTATAACATACGACGTACTTTGGATCCGCAACTTGAGGCAGACTGCGGTGAACGGAGATCATATCGGACGCGTACTGGTTAAAGGCATTATTCTGAAAACCGTCGTCGAACAATTTGCGCTGGTCTTTTGACAAGTCCTAAACAGCAGAGTTTTGCCTCGTGGAATAAAAATCATCTGTCACAATCAAAGGGGATTAATATAAAATTTAGTGAACAGTTTTAATTTTCATGACTGTGCAAATTATCATATTGACAGCGAACTTTGGACTTGTCAGTGATAGTTATTTCAGGAAGAAAATCAATTATAGCGATCTAGGCATTAAGTTCTGCAATTAAATGATTGCTAGCCTTGCGTATCAAATGAATACAAGAATTAGTGTAAATCCTATTCAGTGCCGCTGATAAGCCTATGTACTGTCGATGTTCCGTTTCATGCATATTAAATGCTAACAGATGCAACTCACACTCTACTTTGACTTGCTGAAGACCGCCTTCAACCCGATTTTTTCAAATTGGGAAGCACCGTTTGAAGACACAGTCGTGTACGCCACATCGCTACTAAGCTAGAAACGAAAGAACTTGCCGGTCTTAAATCTGTGCTACATAAAAACAGTGTCGCAAACCTTCCTTATCCTTTGATACAAAGAACAATTTAGAACTTAATGACGGAGGAAAAGAAAAATTTTTCAGTTTCTACATTCCTGATCAGTACACACATACTATTAACTACATGTAATTCGCTCGCTTGAGTGGCTAAAAGTCAATGCATTATTGTGGCGGCAATGACATATGCTCAAGCTTGTGTTCGCACTTGAACGCAGCGAAATGTACATATCTTCTTGCTCTGTCTCTTGTCTCTGACTCAGTCGTTGGTACTGTGTTTCTTCCCCTCATATGCCTTTTCTTAATCATCGTTATCTGCACAATCGTCATCATCATAATCATAAAGAACATCACCAATTTATCCTTTTTAATGCCCAGTGTCATCATTACGCTCTATTACATCTTCCTATTTCCGTTTTTTTGCTTTTCCTCTTTATTCATTATTTCCTCGATTTCTTTCTAAGCTTAAAAAGTTAGAAAGCCGCGAGCCTTCAAAAGCGCCCATAAGGTCATTGGGTTTTGCATGTGAAATTCATGATCCTTAAATGACAATTTTGAAATTTGTGCCAGATGTGCCGAACTCCTTACAACGCACTAGTTCAGCATGAACTCGAATAGCTAGCATTTTAGAATAAGTTCTATGATGCTCGACAAAGGCAAATACCTACTGAAGATAAGTTGCCAAGGAGCATGTCGACGAATTCATTCATTAAAATACAGCGTTATAGCATCCATATACACAAAGACCTTCATCGCAAATCCGCAATTCATCCCTTAGCCTGAATCCTTAATGATTAAGAAGCGAGCGTGAAGAACTGTCTTGAAAATCTTTCTAGTGCATCGACTTTTTAAAAAGTGCTCATTTGTTCAAATTATGGATTACTGTTGTTTTTTTAGTTGGCCATTTTCTCAATGAAAGTCTCATGACGAAGCGAAAACGAACCGCCCCTTGCAAGAAGAAAGACCGCTGTCTTGTGGCCAAATGTTAGTTCGTCATAGATAGAAAAGGATACTTCGAACCGGATGGAGTTGAGGGAGGGGCGTCTGTACGAAATTCCTCAAGTGATCGTCAGTGCTACTAGCGGGTAGTAACTTCAAGCGCCATGACAACACAAGCTGATTCATCGCCGAGCACGGACCGGTTCAGATATTCTGTGTTTTTTTCTACGCAGAAGAACGCAAGTTCCTGAATTTCCATTCTAACCACAAACTTAACTGAATAATTACCTGGGCGACGCTCCTGTTCTTTTTTTACCGAGCTCCCTTCCTGTTCTCATTATACTCTTCACTACTTCCTCAACTTTCTCACGGCGTTTCGTGTTTTAATTCCTCATCACTTTTTCTGTCTCTTTCTACCTCCTCTGCAATGTAATTACAGACGGTTCTTGACTTACGACTGGGTTACGTTCCGACGATTTCATTGCACGTTAAAAATATCGTAAATCGAATATTATAAATAAACTACCGTCATTTAATAAGTAAATAAACGAATAATAACAGTAACTAACTAAACATCAATATTTAAAAAGTTTACATCAATTTTTGTGGGATGATGCTGAGTCGGAGGCCATAGCGACAGGGCTATCAGTTTCTTTTTTTTAATGATTCGCGTTCGCGAGCATATTTCGCAGAAGTCATTGCGTCGTCGACACTTGTTAATGGTTCAGTAACAGGAATTTGCTTGTTCAGGACCATATCAAGTTTCGACCGGAAAATTTGTTTCTTCTTTCCATCAAGGGGTCTTGTATTTGTCTTTCAAATTTTGTAAATTTATCATAATTATGATCATATCGTCACTGTCTGATACGTTGTTAAACCCTGTAGAAGATATTTACGTTCATGATCGCTACAGTAAAATGAGGGCGCATCGCAGTTGCACTTTCGTAAAGCGAGGTGCATCTACATTAATAATTTAATTCAATGTAATATAATTAATCTTCATCATAAAGTAACGTAATTAATCATCACAACAGCTCCACTGTTCCTCTTACATTGCTATACCTCGTTTACCTACGCCTCGCTGGCTCCCTTTCCCGTTCGTCGTCCTTTTAAATTTGCTCCTTCTGTTGCTCCTGTTATTCACTGAATTTTTTTTTCATTCTTCTACCTGTTCATAGCCTTGACTTTTTTGTTTACCGTCACCATTAGCAAAACCGCGTATTTACGTGTCAGAAACACGGCAATTTGCGTTTTTAATTTTGTTGCCAATTTTACTGTCACCTTCCGCACTTTCGAAAATTTACTCACCTCTTTAACGATGTGGACAGCGGTTCCGTTTTCTCCGGGCATGCTAAGGTCGTGTTTGTAGATCGGCAAATTAAGATCCAACGAAACGATGTTCGGCGCCGGAATATGCTTTTTTTCGTCCGCTGCCACTTCGTTCTTTGCGTTGACCTTAGGCTTCGCTTCAGCCTGAGCATCATCTCCCTTTTCATGCGGGAGAATCGCCTGCTTTTCACTAATCCTAAAAAACAGCACCTTAAACAGCCGCTTGACAAGCATTATAATTAGGTACCGCGGCCGCTGTTTGACATGCTTGAAATCAGCGGCATTCGCAGCCTTCGGTTCCTTCATACCCGCACTGTAGAACAGGAACAAATAGCCAGCCCATATGAATACGACGAAGAACACCAGCTTGAAGCACAGGCCACGTCTTCGTCGAAAAGAAATCATCGTCTTGGTGGCCGCCAAAATCGAAATGTTTTCATCTACGGAAGCGCGACCACCACCACAACTGCGCAAACAAAAACACATCACCAGGCATAAAAAAACGAAGGGCGAGTGACGACTATCGCGCGATACACGGCGCTGCCTAATAATCAAAAAGCACGCCGTTCAACAACAGACACAACGACGTCTGTAGCCGCACGATATTTTCGTAGAATCAGCAATTTTCGCCACCACAATAAGTCATAGCAGTTCGTCAACGATCATTCCGTCCAAGAAAAGTTTAATGACGAAAATATGTCAATGATGAGATTAACAACTTAACAGTTTTATAAATTGAAAGCTAAATAAGGTAAATGAGAAACAGTCCTGACCATTGTGAGTAGTCGTTCTCGATAATCGTGCGTCTTGCATCCACTCTGCCAGACATTTCGATGGATTTAAAGCCTATCAGTCACCGAAAAACTCACTAACCTCATAACAAACCGGAAGGAAAAAAATCGCCACCGGCGAATCCAATAATAGGACATGGCAAATGCATCAAGCATTCATAAATGTACGAACAGTGCCCAAAACATGTGACATCATTCTGCGGATTCACACCGCGCAATAGCGTCGAACGGCTGGGGATATTTTAGGCAGTTCCCCCAGCATTACACACAACATTACATGCGTTCAAAACAACAAAATCACTAACCTCACAACAGTGAAACTTGGTGAAACAAGAAAACACATTCGAACACCAATTCGCAGGCAAATATTTACGTAAATGCCTACTACTTTCCAGAAGAATGATCAATTTGAAGGGTGCGCTAGGCCGCTAGAAGAGAGAAGACAGCAAGATTATGCGATGCGACTGCGGAAAACGAAACAAAGTTTGTAACCGTTGCCATGTCGATCTTCCTTATAGTTTCATGACAGGTTCGGCAGGGCCGACACGTCCATCAAATCGCCATCTGACCTACAGTACCGAAAGAAATGTAAATTTGACTATCCCCTTTTCGTGAAAGAAACCATCAACCGGCTGCGAAAGAAACTGAAGCATTTTAGACCCTCCTGCCTGCTTCGCTGACCTTGTGAGCAAGAATCTCGATTAAACGGGTTGTTCAATACGCTGCCTTCAGCTGGGCTACAATCTGCATTTAACTAAATTCCGAAAGGAGACCTATCAAGGAAACTGCTCTCTCTCTCGGCTCCAATCCTTTCATTTCGAGTCGAGCACAACTTACAATGGTGCACAAGATAACTCAATTATACGCAGCAATCAACAACGGAATTCTTCAGAGTTCAATATCATTGCCAGTTCCGTTCACATTCCACAAAAACAGTCTCCGCCCTCGAAAGCCATCTTCCTAAGACGACACCGAAGTCACACGTCCGGTCTAGTGAATTCAAAATTAACTTGCTTACGATCTTACTAATACAGAGATACTGGATATCTCATTGACTTGTTCTCAGTCCATCGAAATGCACTTAATTGAGATTTTCCAGGCTATCTGCAGGACCGTCTCTCAACCGGGACTTAACAGTTATACTCAATTTGCAGTCGCAACTCGTTACGTCTCAGTAGCACCTTGGCCTCACCACCAGCAACAACCTTTTCTAGTCTAAGCATGTAAAAATTATAGGCACAAAAGCCATATGGTATGTTATTGCGAGAGGGTTTGACAAATCTGGAATCGTCGCAAAGTCATATAAAACTTCTTTGACACCTATGTGCTTCCAGTAATTATCCACGGTGATGCAGCGGTCTTCCCAGCGACACTCAACGATGATGCCGTATTACTGAATCGCTGCATCAAACGAATTTCATGAATCAATGCCAAAGGCAAGAAAGAGCCAAGGCCAAGGCAGGTCATAATCGCAACAAAATCACTTTGATGGAAATTCTCTTGACTTCTGTTCATTCAGTACATAA